AACTGTCAGTTTTTAAGGATGGAAACGGACATTTGACATTTTACATTAAGTACATAGATCCCCCAAAGTTGGAGCAAATAATGATATTAGAGTTCTACCTGTACAGGTAAAAAAACGGCGAAAAAGGAATGCAAGTTGAAAATGATTATTAATTGAATTCAATTGTACACCAGTCGAAATTATGTGTTAAGTTCCTTATCGGTTGGGCGGAGTTTTCCTTTCGCGCTTTGCCGCTCAAATCGATCATGAAAATTTATGAGAGTGCCGGCCATAAAAGCAAAGCAGGAAAAACTAATTAGGCAGATATCAAATTCGGATTAATGGCTCTCAAAGTGCCATAAAATCCTGGGGCGCAACAATTAGGATAGGGAAGTTGATGTGGATCTCCGGATATGTGAGAGTTGCCAATTGCCTTGGAATGCTGGTAAATATGTTGTGTCAACCATAAAAGCCAACTCGACCGCTTTCGGCATTCTGGCCATGAAAACCAATGCAAAGTCGTAAAAAGTTACAAGAAATGGTTCCCCCCCATAATGTCGATACGAAAGGAGATGATGGAAAAGTTTGAGAGGCTGGCAAGTTTGTTTTATGGCCGCACTTGGGGAATTACTTTCCATTTACAAAATTTTAATCTCGCGGATAAATAAGCTGACGCTACATTGCATTCGCCCTTATGTGCGGGCTCAGCTAATGGACTTTATTCTATTTTGGGCCAAACTTTTTAATTCAATGCATCATCGTGAATATTGTATACTTTGTTACAGCGATGGCGGGCGGCTGTAAAAATAGTTTGTCCCTCTGGCTAGTGTTTGACTTTGATTTTGGCGGATTGCCGAGCTGTCAGACTAATAAATTGACCTAATAAGCAACTTGCGCGTAAAAGTTCTGTAGCCACGATTTTCAACTTTGCTTTCCTCTACATGGCACACAAGCAAAAAATTATTAATATTCTAAAAGGTTTCAAAGTTACATATTTTACTTTGTATTTTTTATTTATATTCGAATGCAGTGCTTAGCTTAAACTGTAACTGCAAAAATAACAGGTTTGTATTAAGATAAACTAAATAAATTAAAGGTAGTTTTTTGTTTTATATAGTTTTTTCTAAAACTTAATAAAAGTGGCTTGATTTTCTTTAGTTCTTTTCGTCATTACAAATTATTTACTGATTTTTTTTTGTGCACATCTCTGGACAAGTCTTGGCCAGCAAGTGGATTCGACAAGCTAATCCGTTTTGCGGGCCTTTTTCAATTAAAATAAATTAAATGCAAATGTCAAGACTGTTTTCGGGGACTCCCCTAGCGCTTTTTCGCTCCCTCAATTAGGCGCTCTGTCAAATTTCGCGCACGGCTTTGACAGGTCCGCGGGACAGATGATGAACTACAAATTGGACCGCGGTGGTTGGGTGATTGGGTGGTTTGGTGGTGCGTCGGTTCTGCGGGTGGGTGAAGTGAGTGTGGGCGGCTTATGATGCCCCATTCATTGCGCTGCATGGGAAAGTTTTCCGTAATGCCGGGACCAAGTCTTGTTGGGCGCCTTAAGAAAGCTTAAAAGTTGCTGGCAACAAAGTTGGGGGCTGAGTTGGGCGGACAATAAGCAGTAAAACAACGGATTTGAGGGATTTTAAAACAATAATGCTAAGCGGGAAAAGTAAATAAAACGAAAGCGAAATAAAATATTCGTTGCCAAAAGTCCGTAAAACGGTTTTTGCTTACGTGCCTTTGCTGAATTTTATTTCAGAAATCTCAAAAGTATTTTGTTTTTGTAATTCAAGAGCTTAAAAAGAACTCTTTTGAAAGATTCGGGAAATATTTTAAGGCTTGTCAACAAGGTGGTTTACTTTTTATTCGCCAAGAAAGTTTATTAAGTGGATTGAGAGCAAAGTTATTCATTGTTTTATTATTTATTTATTAAGTAACTTGGCGAGCAGGGCGATAACTGATAATATTGGCTCTCTTTTAAAACATCTCCTATTTTACCAAGTTATAATTGTAAAGGTGTCTTAATCGATAGAGATCAAGTCAAATATATGTTTATTGTCAAAACCGCAAATGTATTACTTTGCTAAGTACAGGAATTAGTATCTAAGTTACTATGAAAAAACTGATATTTTAAGCTACAATCTACAACTAAAAACAATTCCTGTGATGTCAGAATACTTAATGTAATCTTTTTTCGCCCCCATCCCTCACTGCAATAATTTTCAGCCGGAAAGCTCAAGTTTGGCCAAATCTCTCACTCGCTCTTGACTTGGCGTCATCTTAGTCATCTTAGTCATTAAAACAGGTTCAGACTAAGTAATTTGCCAGACACTTCAGGCGAAAAAAGGGAAAAGGTAGGGATTGGGGGGATACTTCCACGCTGGTGCCTTAGTTAGTTGCCCTCTAATAAACTGGCAGCGGAAATTTTTAACAAGTTGTTGCCAGTGCACAAAACTGGGCTGTAATTAACGCGGGACAGATGCCGCGAAAGGGGATCCAGATGGATGGGGGATGGGGGATAGATGCGGGAGGAGTTGGTGGAGTTGCATCGTCTGGGATAGACGAGATTTTGCATATCAGATTGCTGCCCAGCTCCAGTTTGGCCCTGCCTTGTGATTTAATAACCAGCGCTGGCAGTCAAAACTATCCAGCAACTGCAGCGAAGGGCAAATGTTAGCTGTCGTAGTCAAATCTCTAAATACCCTTACTTAAGAATGGAAACAAATTCATGTCTTTACGGTTATTTTAACAAATATATCGTAAGCCTTTAACATTATAATAGGTATAGACTGGAAGAAAGAAATTATTAACAAAATTTGATGTAATATATTTTGTTTGGTGGTCTTCATATTAAAGGTTTGACTAAACTATGGATTACAAAGTGTTTAGCTTTAACTGCGTCTTTAAGAATCGGGTGTGATTGTTCGTCTTTGTTAGCAAACCATTTCCAATTTATAAAAATTTCTTCTTTAAACATGGAAAACACGAGGTGCCCAAAAATATAGAGTTGAAGGAAGAGCGGAAGATGATTGGTTTTCATTGGAATTCAAATTTGCGTATACGAAATATGTTGATGAAATTGATTTGGCCAACGAAGATTTTACCCAGAATTCAGAGTGTTTTGTTTTCTACAACAATCATTGGATACAAGAGAGCAAGATTACAATATTTTGGCCTTAAATGCGCTTTGAGCTGTAACCGAGGGATTAAAAATTTATTACAAATTAGTGTACTGGACACAATGCTCCAATATTTGTAACAAATTGAAGGTCTCTATTGAATTATGATTGTCATTTTTAATTTTTACAACCTATCGGCTTGCCGAAGCTTGCTTCTATTTTTGTTTATCATATGTTTTTGTTGATTTGTAAAAGAGTATCTGTATAGTCTTTAAAAAAGAAAAAGTATGACATCATTCTGAGATAATATTAGATAAAATGAAAATGAAGAACAATTTATAATGTTTTTTATGATATCTCGGAATGATATTGTTCTTGATTTAAACAAGGTTGTCAACTTTCTACCAAGAAAAGTTATCATACACAAAATATTGTATCTTTAGGTAGGGTATGGCAGCTGTTGGTGTCTGTCTCAAAAATTTGTTCTAGCCGACTCTTGTTTCCCTCCAGTTTTCTTCTCCTTCCCGCCTTTCCCTGATTTTCTCCCGCCCCCTGCACTTTCCATTAGAAGGGAGGCGAATGCAAACTGCAATCGAAAGCGCGTGCAAAAATGAAAAGTGCCAATGTGGCGGATGGGTGATGCGGAAGCGGGGGAACTGGGAGGCTGAGAATGGGAATGCGGAGCCAAAGTCCTCGGCAATTTGCATAAATTTAGATCAGTGACACATGGCGTCCGCTAATGGAGGTAGTGGGAGATTCGGAGATGGAGAACTGGAGTGACTGGGAGTGGACATATATCAGGGAACCCCACGCAACCCGTGACTCAAACAGTTTAGCAAACATTTCCAATTGGCGTTTAATTAGCGGCTAATCCGTTTGCCACTGCCTGCGAGTGGGCGTGGTCGTTTCGCACACACCTTTCATTCCTCATCCGATTTTCGGCTGATTTTCGCATCTCGCAGGTGGCGATGATGTTCGGGGCAGTCCAATTAAAATGTCGTGTATCTCTGCGGTGGGCTACCACTACCCACTGAAGGTCCATTGGATTGCACTTGGGTGGCCAGCGGATGTCCAACAACCACTCTCACCCACTAACCATGAAATGCCGATGGAATTGGAGATTGGCCTCGCCACCGCTGACTACCCACTGAAGCGAAACTTTCAGCCGGAACGGAAAAGTTAGGTGGGAACTAAGTCTGTGACCTCGGGTGACTTTGTATTGTAAGTTTATTTAACTTGACATACATTCTTCATCTGTCATTTGGTCATATAGTTTAACCTAAATAATTAAACCTCAAAATAAACTCATAAAAGCAAGAAGGAACTCTGTAATTGGGTTCCCCGACTCTTAAATACCTGTTACTCAGCTAACTAATTGGGGGTTATATGGCTCCATCTGCCAGAATATATACAATAATACTTAAAGCTTGGAGAACAGTAGTCCGATTTGGAAAATTAGTATGAGTCGATAGATATACACCGAATAAACAAATACAGCTTACTAAGTCACCTTTTAACATGTCTAAGAGTGACATGACAATTTTCGAGATTCGTGGTATGCATTTTATCTGCCAAGTCTCTAGCTTTTATAGATTTTATTAACATATGTACATACACTTTTTACATTTTTCATACATATTTTGCATATATTTATATAATATACAATATTATGTTTTTTGTGGCACATTTTGCATATATTATGTATACTTTTCATGATTTTTGCATTTGTTATGGATATGCGTTTTATGTAAATATGTTAAAAATTTTTAGATGCAATAAGTTTTTGAGCCTATTCTTAATGAGCTGAACTTTGGTGTTATGAGTGCTTACTCACCCTAAGCCTTGAAAAACATGCAAATATGCCAAATTCGAGATCTAGTAATTATTAGTATTTGATGTAGATCCCTTAGATATTTTAGTTTCTTTTGCCTTCGAAACTTACACTTCTTACACAACAATTTAAATAAATTTTAGTTTTCTTAAACACAAGACATGGCCTTAGAGGCCGTTTGCGGTATGAACCGAATTCCTTTCATGAGGCGCTTTGACGATTTGCAGTCCGAATGGCAACAGCAGCAATTTCGTGAGGCCACCAGTAACTTTGAGAATCCTTATGCACTGATGGCGCCGCCCTTTGAAAGGGTGAGTATAGTCATAAAATGCATAAATACCCTTTAAAAACAATGCAGTACCTTGCAGCCTGCAGAGAATCTGCCGAAGATTCTGGCCCATTGCGGAGTGCGAATGGAGTTCGATCATGGCACCACCACCTTGGGTTTCAAGTACCAGGGAGGCGTGATTCTGTGTGCAGATTCGAGAGCCACATCTGGCCAGTATATTGGCTCGCAGACAATGAAGAAGATAGTGGAGCTGAACGAGTACATGTTGGGCACTTTGGCGGGTGGAGCTGCCGATTGCGTCTACTGGGATCGAGTTTTGGCCAAGGAGTGCAGGCTGCACAAACTTCGCTATCGGAAACGCATGACTGTGGATACGGCTGCCCGGATTATTTGCAACATCTCCACGGAGTACAAAGGCATGGGTCTGGTAATGGGAATGATGTTGGCTGGCTTCGATGACGAGGGTCCCAAGTTAATTTACGTGGACTCGGAGGGCATGAGGTCACATGGTCAAGTATTCTCCGTTGGCAGCGGCTCCCCATATGCCCTTGGGGTCTTGGACACTGGTTACCGTCACGATCTCACCGATCAGGAGGCCTATGACTTGGCCAGGCGAGCAATTTATCACGCCACCAGCAAGGATGCATATTCGGGAGGGATTGTTCGACTCTACCACATCAATTCCGAGGGCTGGCGAAATATCTCTAACACGGATTGTGCTGAACTCCATGATTCGTATTGTGGAACTGGGCATCCGCAGAACAATAAAGATTCCCAGGATGGCGCTGACAAGGAGATGCCCTGCTCCAGTGCATGGACAAAAAGAAAACTTGCAGAAGACAATATCCAGACTAAATTAGCAACGGTGTAAGAATTTGGAACAATGTAGGCTTAAATTGTTTAAAAGTAGTAACTCTTTTCGTTTATCACTAAATAATAATAATACTATTATTAAACCTCAAACAAGTTAAAAATTATTAGAATATTATATTGTTCTCAGCCAACCTTTTCGAGAAGGAATACTTATGAAATCGTATTTTCAATCTAATGATTCATTTCAGAACTGTATGCCAACTATTATTTAAATCCTTTACTCTTTTTAAAATCATAAAATCATTTACAAGTTTTCACCCCTAAAAATAAATACAACAGTAACAGAGAAGCCTTCCTCCCCATTATTTCTTTATTCTTAACGCAGTGCTCCAATGTCATACATCGCTGGATTCGTCTTTAAATTGCCAATCAAATGGCATTCGCAGTTAACAATTTTGCAGTTTTTCAAATTTTTGGAAAAAATGATGATTGCAAAAATTTAATTAAAATAATTTCTTCAAAAAATCGATTTTTAAAATTCTGTTTTTGCACCAAAACAAAATTCGTTTTTCTTAACCGATTGTGGATGGGTAGTATAGGTCGCCACTTATACAAAACAGTCACCCTTATGACTATACGTCTAATTTTGGTCAAGTTACAACGAAAGGACTCTTTCGGAATTAATTTTTTTACAAGTCTCCAAAAACTTAAAAAAAAAACACCTAAAAAATCAGTTTTTCAAAACGCTGAGAAGTAATAGTCAAATGATGGAAGGTCATACATCGCTGAATTCGTCAAATGGCATTCGCAGTAAAATTTTTTCCAGACTTTCAAATTTTTGAAAAAATTATCAAAAATGCAAAAATTGGTCGTAAAATTAATTTCTTCAAAAAATGGATTTTTTAAAATCTGTTTTTGCACAAAACCAAAATTGTTTTTTCTAAACCAGTTTTGGATTAGTAGTGTAGGTCGCCAATTATACAAAACAGTCAATCTTATGGCTAATTTTAGCCAAGTTACATCAAAATTACTCCTTCGGATTATATTTTTTTACAAATCTCCAAAAACCTAAAAAAACACCTAAAAAATAAGTTTTTCTATTAAAACCCTGATAAGTAATAGTCAAATAATGGAATGTCATACATCGCTGAATTCGGCATTAAATTGCCTATCAAACGGCATTCGCAGTAAAAGATTTGTCAGATTTTCAAATTTTTGAAAAAATGATGACCCCCACCCTTATCAAAAATGCAAAAATTGGTCATAAAAATAATTTCTTCAAAAAATCGATTTTTAAAAATCTGCTTTTGTACCAAAACAATATTTATTTTTCTAAGCCGATCGTGGATGGGTAGTGTAGATCGCCAACTGTACAAAACAGTCACTCTTATGCCTATACGTCTAATTTTGGCCAAGTTACAAAGAAAGAACTCTTTCGGATTTTGTATTTTGACAAGTCTCCAAAAAACTAAAAAAAAAAACACCTATAAAATCTGTTTATCGATCAAAATTAAATCGTCATTAAATTGCCAATCTAATGGTATTCGCAGTTATAAAGTCCCCACTCCCTTATGTCAACCATATTCCTCCATAGTGCTAGATATACGAGCAACTTTCTCTCGCCAAACGAACTTTTTCTATAAATCAAAATAATAACTTCTAAGCTCCGAACGACTTCCCCTAAATGGGCGTGCCGCACACAAAATACGAAATGTTCCATGAAATGTTGCATTCTGTGTCTTTCGGTTGTCATCAACAAATGTTGCAGATGCCACTGCCAGGAGACTTCGTCCGGGAGCTCTACCATCCTATACCATCCCATCCCATCCCATCCCATCCGGAAAAGCGCAACCGCAGACATTAGCAGGCGTAGGTCATCCACTCCCACCGAGGACCTACCCATCGGATGGAGGCCCCTCTTCCATGGCTGTTAAGGCGCTCTGAGCATGCGATAAATTTAATAAATTACAAACCAAGTCCGCAAATTTGTTGAATTCCAAAAAAAAGAACGAAAAACGCCAAATGACTACACGGAAGAAAATTAAAAATTAGAATTTTATTAAAACAGGTAAAAAACGTAAATGGAGACAATATTTTTGTAATAATCCATTTTGTGATTGGTTTTTTATACCAAGAATGTTTTTTAATACCCATTTAACTTTAGTCAAACGTTTGTCACACTTCTCAATTCCCTTTAAACTAAATATATTTTTGATCAGCATTACCAAGCTAGTTTAAGGTTTATTGTTTAACAGGCTTATTGTTTTATTTCTATGTCGAAGAGTTTAAAACTGTACTCTTTATTATTTTTAAGCCAAATACGATATATTTTGATACCTTCGTGGAATTAATTTAATTCCCATTTTATTGAGAAATTGCTCATACCCTAAATTTTGAAATTCATGTAACAATTGTTTAGTTTTACTAAACACTACTTTTGGCTGTAGCTTTCATAGATCGGCTTGCCGAAGTTTGCTTCCTTTCTTGTTGTATACTGCATTCGTTTCAGTTTAATGAAACTAAAGCATTCTTTTAACAATAGTTTGTGTAGCTGTACTCTTAATTTAAATTTCTCTTTCCGAATTATATTTCAAGACATTCTTTAAATTAATCAAATGGAAGTTTTTCAATTTTTTGTAGTGTCTGGCGAGATGGTGGCACCATTTGCACGGCGTTTTGGGGCACATGTGAGTTGCAGCACGTGTGTGAAGCGGCGCAGGCAGCAGCTCAGCAGGGAGAAATGGGGCGGTGGAACATCAGGACAGAAGGCGTTTTGTGGCAAAAAGTTTTACTGTAAATTGCTTTTAATCTAATGAACGTCGCCAGCAGGAGCAGCCAGGAAGTGAGCAGCAGCAGGGAAATAGGGGGGATGGAGACAACTTGGGTAACCCCCAAGTTCCCGAGAGTCATTTTTCCTCTGTGGTGTCATTAGAAAATTACTTAAAGCCAAAGTCGTGTGGCCAGGCTCGGAGAATCCTCATTGCGGGTAAGTGGAGGAAAAGTGGCGGAAAAAATGTGGCACTATGGGTTAATGGGTCAAAACTATTTTCTCGAAGTAAATGAGTATAAATTAAATTTATATAGTGGCTTGAAGTGTGATTTTCTGATTTTATCTTATCCCTAAATATCATAAAGCAGGATGTTGCTTACAATGAAAAATTTTTCTGATAGGTAAATATATTTTTTGTTTTATTTATTTCAGGAATATGTTAAAATAATTTTATTTTGGTCTGTAAACGTTGTTACTTTGATTAAAAATTCGCCGTCCACAAAATTAACATTGAATAATAAAGCGCATGTCGGCACAGCAGCGTCAATCTATTCACTGGCAGCCTAATTGCGGCTATCAATATCCAACAAATTAGTTGGTTCCCTTCTCGATTTCGAAATTCTCCCCTGCCTTTAGCTAATATGGCATAAAAAGCTTGTCCAAAAAAAAAACAATCATAATTTAAATTAATTTACAAAGCAACAAGAGCAGCAGCAACACCTGCAATGTCGCTGTTGCAGTCAGTAGTTGTAGTTGTCGTTGATATTGTTGCTGCTGTTGCCGCCATTCCACTTTTGTCAACGAGCTCAAATTCAATGAAATTTCACACTTTGTCGTTAAAAGCGCGCCGCTAGGAAAAGGTGGAATGGCGGGGGGCGGTGGAAAAGGGGGGCGTTAACTGTCGGGCATAAGGATGCAAATATGCAAATGGATTTTGCCATGGGGGGTGGGAGATGCAACCGAAGCCGGTGGAGATCGTAAGAGTCTGCCAGAGTGTTTGACAAGCAAGCGTGACTGTTGGTTCGGTGGGTGGGGAGGGATCCGAGGGGCGGGGCTGGGTATGTTGCCTGCTGGTGATGATGATGTTGCCGCTGTCACAGGCCTAAGCTGCAGCAGCAACACTCGGCCAAGGCATTGCTCCCGGGGCAGACAGGGAGCGAGATACTCGCTCGTGAGACAGCGGATGTGGCAGCATTGCCTCGTTTGGCAGTTTCATTAACAGGCCAAGGCGGCAAGACGCATTCGGAGGATAGAAAGGCAACACCAAGACCAACTGCAACTGCGACAAGAACAGCAGCAGCAGCAGCAGCAACAGCAACAGCAGCGAATGCAAATGCAACAGCAACATCATCACCCATATTAGGAACAGCAGTAACAACAATAACGATACACAGGCAAAAATAAACAATGCTGGCAATAATAAATGTTTGAGTTTTGAGTATGAATTTCAAATAATGCAGTCAACACAAATGGTAACTTAGCTAGATTTTAGTAAGCTATTTTTGTAAGATAGGTAGTGATTTTAAATGAGCTTTTATAGTCATGCTGATAAGCCACGATAAAATAACTGTATTAATGTAGAAAATCAATCAAATATCTATGTAAGAGTATAGTTAAACTCAATAATCTTAACTTAAATGTTAATGTGAAATAAATTTCATGCTTACGTATACGGTTTTTTTTACCTTGAGCAAATAAAATCAATTGTGATATAGTTTTGTTTAGTGCAACAGCAGCAACATCTTCTCCGCCAGCAGCGTCAAATGCACTTCCAATTTATCAGCTCTGGTCTGCCAGTTTTCCTTGCCTTCTGCAGCCCCTGTGCCCCCTTTTCCCCAGCCATGGTCCTTGTGCAACATGAGGCAACATCAAAGTGCAGATGTTGTTGATGCTGCCGCTGCTGTTGCTGTTGTCGCTGTCGCAGTTGCTGTTGCAGCTAGATGTGGCCGTTGTGTGTTCTCCATTTATTGCTACTTTGGCGGCAACTGCACATTAGTCCCATATCTGTTGAAATTCACGGCAATTAGTTGCCGGCCCAGTGGAAAAAACAATTATGGAAATCAGCTATTGAAGCCAGTTAATTATAGACCATTGAAATGGGTTCAATTATTGTACATCATTGGGAAGAATAAAACAAGAAAGCGGATATGTTGTCTGCCAGATTGTGCATATTGCCATTATAACCAGTTTAATCGGTTTAAGGAGGATTTCTTATTAATACGATTATTTAAATCACTGATAGGTTAACGGCCTAAACAAGTTTAATCGGCTGTATGAGGATTTTCGCCATTAACATTTCAGAAATGAATTAACATTCATTGTAAGTTAAACAATTCAGAAAGTTATAGATTTTTAAGTTGATAAAATTAATATTAATTGTTCTGCCAAAAA